ACCAAAGATGGCGAAGTGGACGTTCTTCAAGAGCTGAAGAAAAATACTTCTTCGGGAGGTGGTGGTAGGCATGAACTTGAAATAAATGAGATAGAAGAGAAATTAGCCGAAAAAGCAGATAAAAACCATGTTCATTATATAAGTTCAGACGAACAGATTATAACGGCCTACCATGGATATTTAACACAGGATGAACAAATAAGCACTGAAGATGTTAATGAAAGAAGATATAAATACATTCGTGCTAAAGGTTATGACATACACTGTACTGTACAGTATGACACAGGTAAAGCACCAGAAGCATTTGGTTATAACGATGAAATTTATGCTTCATACTTCTCTGTTAACGGTGTATTAGTTGAACCAAGATTTACGTTGAGAGTTAAGGCAAACATAACGTTTGAAGATGCTATTAAAAGTAAAGCCAGCAAAGATGAACTTGAAGCAACGAACAAAGTTTTGAAATCTCATAAACACAATATCTCCGATATAAATTCACTTCAAGCTACATTAAATAGTAAAGCTGACAAGAACCATACACATGAATCCTTCACTACTGTTAGAGCAGACGACATAATATTGAACTATACCCTTGGTTCAAGTGCACCTTTAGAGAATCCAAGTACAAGCGTAAAAGATACACTAAACTCCTTAAATAGTAAATGTATGAACATTGAAGGTCATGTCAGAAACTTTGAAACATATGAACTACCAGCAATGTTAGATAAGAAAGCAGACAAAACAGAGCTTCAAACATTAAAGACTGAAATACTTCAAACATTATATCCTATAGGCTCTATTTATACGTCAATGAACTCAACAAATCCAGCAAGTGTTTTAGGTTTTGGTACATGGCAGCAGATTGTAGACAAATTCTTATACTGTGCTAAATATTCAAAGCAAACAGGAGGTTCGAAGAAAATTAAAGAAGCAAACCTTCCACCGCACACTCATACAGAAACTACAAACTTTTCTGGCGACCATAGACACTCATTAAGAGACCACCCATTATACAACTCAGAGTATGAAGCTGGCAATGACGTTTTATCTCCATCTTATAACAATGCAGCAAAAAAGATTTTTCGATCAACTGAACCGGGAGGAAATCATTCACACACTTTCACAACAAATCCAACGGGTTCGGGTGCAGATTATATGCCACCATTTGTGACTATATTCGCATGGTACCGCGTTCAATGAACGCGCTTGAGCCTAGAATAAAATCTTTAACTTTACATAAATGAGCTTGAAAGAAGTATTCGAACAACATCCATAGAGGTCATTTAAGAAGTTCAATGAAGCTGCAAAGAGTTGGGGATTTACTAACAGAGCTGAAGTGAAAAGGTTCTTTGACAAAAATGTTGTACATCAAACAAAAATAAACCCTTACGACTACTTTTTACCAATTTACTCCAACACTCCTGACGCATACCAATTTGACACTCTCATTCAAAGCAGAAAAGGAGGACATAAACCATTCCTCATCTTCATTAATGTTAACACTCGTAAAGCTTTTGCGTATATAATGAAAAATAAAGGAACTCGTGAAGTGTTAAGAGTTTTACAAAAGTTTGTAGCAGAACATAGCCCAAGTACGTTAACATCAGACCAAGACAGTGCATACCTCAGCAATGAAATCACAGATTTTCTCATTAAGCATAACATAACTCACTACACTACTGAAGACCATAACCATAACATACTCGGCATCATAAACCGCTTCATAAGAACGCTCAGAGATTTAAATCAAGAGCGAGACTTTACCGAAGAAACAATGAAACATTTTCTCGAAGTATATAATTCCTCAACACATTCTACAACAGGACATACACCAAATTCAATGACACAACAACAAGAAGAAAAGTATATACAAAAGAAACGAAGCCAAACACAAAATATCAGAAATTCAACGCAATTTACCCTCATTCCTGGTACAAAAGTTCGTGTAGTTCTTGACGACAAACCGTTGACAAAGAAACGTTTAAGGTTAAGTAGAAACTATTATATCGTAGACTCTACGCAAGGTAATGGATATCTTATAAAAGCTGCTGACGACTCTATTGCGTTTTACCCTCGACATAAATTAGTCGAAAGTATAGATCCGTATTTTTCCCAAGTGAGCGGGGTATCTCCAATCCCAGCCCTATCGTCCTCCCAGTGTCAGTTTTCAATATAAAATCCAAATTTTTTTTGAAAATAAAAATTTCGAGAAATTTTTCTGATTTTTTTTCTTTGATTTCAATAATTCAAAATAAATTTGGGAGTAAAAAGACACTATTTAATGAAATTCATATGAGTGAATGTGGATAAATACTCTAAAAACATACAATTTATCTATTTTTTCTTTATATTATCAACTAATTAGTGATAATTTTTTTTGAATCAGATTTTTTTTCATTAAAAACATAATATATAACACAACAATGATGCACACATACGTATCTACACATCAAAATATAAAGCTTGTTTTGGTCTGGGCATCCCAACCCAAAATTCTTTAAAAATTGAATAAAATTGAATACTTGGGGCTGGGATGCCCATCCCAAAACCGAATTGAATTTTTTGAATTAAAGAATATATTTATGTATTTATAATATACATGTGATGTCTATAAAAAATACTAAATTCTAAAAAAAATTCAATTTATTCAAAACGTATACTAAGTGATCACTTCATTAGTAGGATCAGCAATCCTACTAAATGGTGAGAACGCCACTAACTAAAAAAGGAGTCCTTGGAGCTCTTGATCTCTTGTCAGTAGAGTTCATAATGAGGCATGGCATCTACTGATTAGAGATCAGAGCAATCCTACCTTACCTTCAGGAGCTACAAAGCTCCTAATCGTTACGAGAGGGAGTCTTGGAGCTCCTGAAGCTCATCAGCAGAGGCTATTTACCATTTGGGCCTCTTCTGATGAAAGATGCGAAACACGTCTACGAACCAGGAGCTTCAAAGCTTCTAATCCTTACTAAAGGGAGCTTTGGAGCTCCTGAGTCTCCATCAACAGAGTCCCAGATGGTAAATGTCCTTTGCTGATGAAAGATGCGAAACACATCTACGAACCAGGAGCTCCAAAGCTCCTAATCCTTACGAAAGGGAGCTTTGGAGCTCCTGAAACTCCTTTTACTATAAAATATGACAGTTTTCTTCTGAGGTTCTCATCAAATCTAAGACTTCAGAAGAAAGCTGTCCTATCAATGTATACTTACACTCTCATGGACTACAAGTGTACAATTTTAAAGCAGAGATTATCCGAGGCCTCTCATCAAATGAGGGACCTCGGATAATCTCTACCTTAAGTAGTCAAATAACTTTTCTCACTATTTAGGAACAAAAGAACAAGAGTTGGAGTACTTTAAGGCAAGATTCTTCCGAAATCTCTCATCGAATGAGAGACTTCGGAAGGACCTTGCCAAATCCTTGAACGCCAATATCCTTGGAACTGAGCTAGAACCAGGGAGAAGTAGCATACTATAGAGCACGATGGTAATCTCGGAAATACTTATATCGCCCCAAGCACAATATTTAAGAAGTCTAACTCATATATACAAGAAGTCAGGCTGAATAGATATTGTGCATATGGTTTGCAGAACTCTCATGATATTTAAAATTCATGTTATCCCAAAAAGGTGACACTTTGGGTGTATCGTCCATCCCAGGGATGCAAAAATCACATCACCTTGGATCTATAGTCGAAAGTAGTAATGGCAAACTTGCTGAAACCATTGACGAAGCAAAGCGAGGAGTGGTTATTGAAATACTTGGCTATAACATAAACGATGACACTTATAAAGTAAGATATGAAGGAGGCGTTGAAGATGTTATACCATCTAAGAACTTGAGAGAGTCAAAGACAACACATCTGGGACCATTAGAGCGGGAGTACTGGAAAGACAAAAATAAGCCAGAAAGAATAAGAAAATTCTTCTAAACTTTTTCATTAGATGTAAATCAGACATGAATGAGAACAGTCATGATATCATTAATGGTACCATTTATTTTTGTCATAAATTTACACCAAAAATATATTTTAGGTGAAGAGGTGAGATCTCACCTGTTTTCTCACCTGTTTTTTCACCCTCATGAATTTTCATGAATTTTATATATTAATGTTTTCGTTAAGCCACTTTGTGCCGTCAGTCAGTCAGTCAGTCAGGAGGGCTCTTTGAGCCCATCTTGGCGCTTTGCGCCGTCAGTTTAGGAAAGACTTTAGAAAGTTGTTGGAAAATAAGTCCTGGGAAGAGTATTATAAGGCATTTTGTGAAGAATATAGCAACAGTCTGAATTCAGACGGTTGCTTTTTATACAAAATTCATGCAGGAAATTCTTGAGTTTTGGTTGAAAGAATACGGTGGAGCCAAAAGTGGCTCGACCTCAAAACAAGCATTTTATGAGCTTACTAAGGCGTTATAAATGAATTCAAAGGTATTTACATACATCCTGACCTCGTTCATTTTGTTGCTGAATTCACCAAAAATAATGTTTAGGGTAGATGGTTAGATCTAACCTCATTTCTACCCTCATTTCTACCCTCATGAATTTTCATGAATTTCATTAGTTAGAAAAATAACGCTAATTTTTTTCTACCAAATTTTTTTATTTTGTATGTAAAGACAGTAATGTCAACATCAGAGAACACAACAACAATTCAAACAACTTCACCAAACTCGTTAGTCATGAATCCAACATCTATGTTAGTAGAGATGAAAAGCTTCATTCCTTCTTCATATAGTTTTGTAACAGAAATACAAAGAATAAAGCAAGAACTTTTAACAAGTAATTTAGACTGTACCGCACAGGATGAAGAAAAGGAACAGTATCTTTATGAAATGCAGGACATTATTGACCATTTACCCAAATTGCCTGAAATTCAGCAGCAAAAGCTCACTATTCCTGAATTCGATGAAATAGAAGTCAAAGCAACTGACTCAGTAGAAATAAAGAAGTTCATACGTAAAGTAAACTATGAGTTTCTAGGATATCATTGCAACCATAAAGTTATGGACAAAGATTGCGACATGGTATATAAGAACATCTCTGACATATATAAATCTGGGGAGTTTAAGACATACGACAACTTTGTTTCATTAGTTGCAAAATGTGTATGGCAGATAAGAGATAAAGATAGAAGAGGTAAGGTATGGAATGAACAGATAAAACCAGCAGCTTTTGAGTTAAAGAAAACCATTGACGCCTTAGTTGTTCTAGCTGGTTTTATTTCAATGTATAACGCAAAAACGATGCCGCAATGTTCAAAATGTAAAGCAGCAATAAGAAAATATAACTACTCAGTCAAAGAGATAGAAAGAATGCGAAACGACTATGCAGACTTAAAGAAAGAAGCAGAAAAACCAGCAGAAAATAAAATGAACATGTTAGAATTTCTGAACAAAAACTATCCAACAGCAGAAGATTTCCTTCTATCTGACGTCAAGAAGAAGTATAAAGAAACCTTCGGCATTGTTAAAACATTCGATATATTAACTGAAGAAATAGAAGCTACAAAACTGTTTAGAGTCTCACGAATTCATAACGTTTACCATGTAAAACGGTTATAAATAATGAGGGTAGAAATGAGGTTAGATCTAACCTTCTACCCTAAACATTATTTTTGCTGAAAAATGACCAAATTTCATGAGTAGTAGGATATGCTTGCTTCCCTCGGAAAACCGAGAGAAGAGATTCCGTACGAAAATCGCAAGAATTTGGCTCCTGGTTTGAAAGGATATTATGTTCATAGACTTTTAGTAAATGCTGTAGCAATGTGGGCTTCACCTCTTCACCTAAAATATATTTTTATTGAATTCAGCACAAAAATCATGAATTTCCTTAAGATAGAAAAAATAACGCTAGTTTTATTTTTTTCTAACTTTTTATTTTGTATGTAAAGACAGTAATGACAACATCAGAGAACACAACAACAGTTATAGTCCATGAAGCTATAAATGAAGAATATGAGTGGGTTCAGTTTAACAAACAACTCCGTCTCATTCGTTCGGTCAAAGACGATATGTACCAAATGCAAAGTATTTTGACAGCATGTTATGCTCCAGATACTAAGCTTCCTAAAGACTGGTTTAGGAACCAAAACACACAAGAACTTTTGAGCGAAGCACAGCGAGACATACTTTTTTCTGAAAACAGTGAAGAACAGCGAGTAGGTAAAAAACCCCAGTCGCCAAAACTCTATGAAAATCGTGAAAAATTGCCAAACGGTTTGAGAGGATATTATGTACATAGACTTCTTGTAAATGCTGTAGCAATGTGGGCTTCGCCTCGTTATGCTTGGTATATTTACAGACTTCTTGACGAAATTCATAGACAAGAACGTGAAGAGATGGAAAACAAGCTTGATGCAAAAGACAAAAGCATACAGAAAAGAATACCACGTTCGGTACCAAAAGGTAAGGAAAAGAACTATAAGTATATGATTTATACTGAAGAGATGGAAAATGAAGAAGATAAAGATATGGTTATGTTGCATTTAGTCAGAAGAAACAACAAGAGCTTTTATGACCTCGCTAAAATATATAAATCTGACAGAAACTGGTTCTATCGTGAAAACTTACCGATTTCAATGACCCCAAATGAAGATGTGAAACAAATAGTTCAAGATACGTTACCTCAAACACACTATGACATCAAAGGTTGTACAATACTTACATTCAAAGAAGACTTAACATTACTGAAGGAAAAAATAACAGAGTATTTCGATAACTTCAAAGAGGAAGAATGAAGTCACGACAACATTAACGAAGAGAGAATGAGGTGAAAAAAAGAGGTGAAAAAAACAGGTGAAATCTCACCTCTTCACCAAAAAATATATTTTTGCTTAAATAGCTTCAGGGTCAATTTCTTCAACCATTTCACTTCCTTCGTCAATGTCAATAGAAGCTTCTTCAACCTTTGGTAAGAATTTCTGTATAACATCTTTGTTCGTTATTGTCTTCAGAGATGAAGGATAATATTTCACAGATGTTTCACCCTTCTTATATTCTTTCTGTTCGGAAAGATTTAAAGCAATACTGAAGAAGTCAACGTTAGAGTTCTTTATGACAGTATAATGAGTATCTTTGACATTCACGAAGAAACTCTTTTGTTTCAAAACTACTGCTAACTCTTGTGAAGTATAACGTTTGCGGTCAATGACGATAGCTAATGGTCTGACATACTGACCAAACTTAGATTCTTTCACAAACTTCTTGTTAAAGATAACATTAACATTTGAAGCATTATTGAACTCATTCTTGATGGCAGTAGCGAGAGCATTGTATGAAAAGAACTTGCAATCTTGCATGTGTTTCATTAAAACAAAAATATTAAATTATTTTGAAAAATAACTTAAAAAAATCTAATCTAATTTTTTCAAAAAATATTTTTTTATTTCCTACTAAAGATGTATCGGAAGTTGTCTAAGTTAGAACACTCGGAAATAAAACAACTTCTTACAGAAGCTAATATAGATGTTGCAAATCATTACGCAACAAACAAAAAAGCACTCGCTGACATCCTCAATGACTATAATGGTGCAATAAGTTATGATAGAATTCATGAGTTCATAAAGCCGCAACGCGGCGAGGACGAAGTCCATGCAAGAGCATTTCCTTTAAATGACGTTGCTATTGACTTATATCATAGACGTTCAGTACCTCATGAAGTAAGAAGAGAAATGTTTGACATAACAAATGCAAACGTTGGTGAAACAAGAAGAAGAGACGACACACTGAAACAACAGAGAAGAGAGATGTTTAAGAGCGCTATAGAACAAGTTCGCAAAGCTAACGATGTCATTCGTTCCATTGACGACAAACCAAAAGAAGGTGAGAGATGGTTAAAGAAAGATGAAGAGAATAGGAAGAGGAATGTGAAGTCAGGCAATAGACTCATTGACTTTAACATCGAAGCTTTAGATGAACCAAACAGAGACTACTTACACAAACATTTCGGTAAGGTTTTCATGAGACTCTTAGAGAAGATTAAAATAAACTCCCAACAAAGATGGATGGTATGTTATAAACTTGGTGGAAAGTATGAATGTTCTACGTTAAACCTCAATAATATTGGAACATTACTACATCAGCTCTTGAAGGAGAACTTTATATCAGAGATAGAAGCAAATGCTGCAGGTATTGTTGAAATGCACTATGACTTCTTCTTGACAAACATAAAGAATCTTACCGAAATAAAGATGTATGATTTAACAGAATATGAAGGCTTAACGATGTCAGATGTAAAGAAAGGCAAACCAAAAAAGAGACCATATAGAGATGAAAGCACACTGACAAATGACCAGAAAGCCATTTTGGAAGCTCTTAAGCAAACAGGAAACCCAGCACTTATAGAAAGCTTTTGGAAAGATAATGGTGAAAAGAAGTTTTATAAGAAGAGAAGCGGTCAGTTCTGGAAGTATCTTTGCACATTACCTATAAATCTTGAACGCTACCAAATCTTCAATGAACTGAACAAAAGAACTGCAACACTTATGACAGAAGATAACTGCTTCGTTTATGCTTGCATTCAGGCTGGAGTAAATGAAGAAACTATTGACCACATGAGAGAAGTCATTCGTGTTAGAGACTTTCCTCAAAGTAAAGTACAAGAAATTTCTGACGCAACAGGTATAGCATTTAATGTTACCATTGGTTACTTCAATGACTCAAGACATAATGAAATAAAGAGATACATACCAAAAGAATGTGAAACTGTTCGAACTATTGACTTACTTCTTGTTGAAGACCACTACATGCTAAATGAAAGATTACCAATGACAACATATTTCATTCGCAACTATATAGAAATTCTCAAAGCTTGTGGTGGAATGAACCTTGAGAAACAAATGAAGATTTATACAAAGAGAGAAGATAAATATGTAGTTCGTTATGATAGAACAACACCGTTATGGGATGTTATGAAAACATTGTGGGAGTGCAAATATTTCGAACCTATTTCTTATGGAGAACTTTTCACATATACGACTGACTTATATAAACAGAACCTTGCACCATTTAAAGATTTGACATATGCTCCAAAGTATTGTGTACAACTGAAGAAGAAAGCCGAGTCAAAAGAAGTAAATAAAGCTAAATGTAAGTTCATTCCTGAGCACGTTTTCTTTGCTGACTTTGAATGTAGCACTGATGGAGTTCATAAAGCCTTTAACATTTGTTATGACAGTGAAGATGGTTCAGTGAGTGAAAGCATTTGGGGTCAGAACTGTGCAACAGAATTTTTGGAACGACTTCCTGACAAGAGTTTAATATATTTCCATAACCCCAGTTATGATATAAACTTCATCTTAAGACACATGACAGAAGTGAAAGGAACTCCTATCATTAAAGGTTCACGAACAATGCAGATAACGGGAATATATAAAGGTAAAGCAATCATTATTAAAGATTCATACACTGTTATAAATAAGAAGCTTAAACTATTTCCTGAAATGTTTCTTTTGCAGTGTGGTGAAAAGGAAGTATTTCCATACAACTACTACAGCAGTGTTTTATTAGCAAATGACAACAGAACTGGTGTCATTTCTGAAGCATGTAAGTTTATCCGGGATGCGGATACGTTCATGAAAAACATAGATTCCATCAAAGGTTGCAGAATAGATGAAAACCACTTCGACTTAGAAAAGTATAGTACATTCTATTGCAAACAAGATGTAAGAATTTTAAGAGAAGGTTTTGTTAAGTTCCGCAATGATATATTAAAAGAATTTGATTTAAACGTTTATGACTACGTTAGTATTTGTTCTATTGCTAACAAATTGTTTGAGAACAGAGTGTACTTCCCGAATGGAAATTTATATGACCTCTCAAATAAACCAAGAGAATTTATTTCACGCTGTATTCAAGGTGGAAGATGTATGCTGTCAGATAACATGAAACAAAAGAGCGAAAAGAAACTCATTGCTGATTTCGACGCTGTTTCATTATATCCATCCGCTATAGCAAGACTTTATACTTTAGAAGGTATTCCAAAGGTTATGAAGAAAGAAATGTTAAGCACAGAGTATCTCATGAGACATTTATTCGATGACGACCAAAAGGAACCCATTGGTGAAAAGTTTATGTCCGGCTTCTTTGTTCTCATTAAGATAACAGAGATTGGAATACATAGACACTTTCCTTTAATAGTTTGTGACCCTGAACTAAATCCAGAACTTAACGTTCCCAGAAGTTCAAACACATGCTGTTTAATGTATGTTGACCATATAACATTACAAGACCTCATAAAATATCAAGGTGTCAAATGTGAAGTGTTGCAAGGATACTATTACGATGGAAACAGAGATATTAGAATAAGAGATGAAGTAAAGAAGTTGTTTGAGTTAAGGTTAAAGTATAAGAAAGAAGGAAATCCTTTGCAAGAAAATATAAAGCTCATTCTGAACAGTATTTATGGCAAAACTATTCTATCTCCTATTGAGTCAAAAATAACCATAGTAAATGACAAAGATGCTATAAGATATGCCATCAGAAACTACAACCATATAGTGAAGTTCGAAGGTTTGGATGGTTCAGATAAAACTATTTTCAAGCTAACGAAAAGCATTTGCAGACACTTTAACTTCTGTCCACTTGGTGTTAACATTCTGTCTATGTCGAAGAGAATAATGTGTGAAGTATTCTGTACTGCAGAAGATATGGGACTTCAAATATTTTACCAGGACTGTGATAGCATGCATATTTTCAATGAAGACATACCAAAGCTTGCAGCAGAGTTTAAGAAGAGATACGGTCGCGAACTTATAGGAAAGAACCTTGGTCAATTTCATTCTGACTTCGCAGAAATAACACCTGGAAAACAAAGTTTAGCATACAAGTCAATATTTTGTGGAAAGAAGACCTACATAGACTTACTCACGAATGATTTAAATGAAGTTGCATTCCATGCACGTTGTAAAGGTGTCAAACAAGACGTCCTTGCTTTAACAGCAAATGAAATGTTTCCTGAAGCTATACAATGCTATTACAATGAAGATAAGAACATTCACATACCTGTTGGAACATATGACAAAGACTCTGAGTTCAGTTTAATGAAACTTTACAAAGCACTTCATGATGGTCAAGAGATTGGATTTGACTTATGTAAGTCTTCTAGTCCTTGCTTTGCTGAAAAGTTTAACTTCTCAATAACGACTAAAACAAGCTTTATTCGTAAGTTGAAGTTCTGAGGTCATTTATTTTTGTCAGCAATGAGGTCATGAATGAGGTCATGAATGAGGTCATTTATTTTTGTCAGCAATGAGGTCATGAATGAGGTCAGCAATGAGGTCATTTATTTTTGTCAGCAATGAGGTCATGAATGAGGTCAGCAATGAGGTCATGAATGAGGTCATTTATTTTTGTCAGCAATGAGGTCATGAATGAGGTCATTTATTTTTGTCAGCAATGAGGTCATGAATGAGGTCAGCAATGAGGTCATTTATTTTTGTCAGCAATGAGGTCATGAATGAGGTCATTCGTGATAAAAATAAAGCTAGCGTAGATTTTACAATACTGCGATGGTAGAGTTTAAGAGTTGTGCTTCAATGTAGAGACAGTCCTTATGGTCTGGAGGTAAGAACACTGGGCAGTTATGGTCATGAGTGGAGAACATGTCTATCCAAAACTCACGATTGAAGCCAGTTAATTTATAGTATTTAGGGTTAGGAAGTGGTGAAGTTCTTGTATGACCAATGAACTCATTTTCAACTCCCTTACTTAAGTTTGAATATAATATAGCTTGCTTTCTATCCCAAATACCTGGAAATCTAATTTCGGAAAATTCATTTTTCCTCGGAAGCATTGCATCATAATTGAAAACATTTTTGAAATCATCACTTGGTTCAGAGATTTGAAATCTTATACGTAATGGATTTTCTTTCTCTTTAGCGACTTCATTGAATGGTGAGAATACAATGAATTGACAGTCATGAGTTCCATCTTCATTTGGTACAAACTCGTAATGAAAAGCTATTAATCTTTCTACAATTCCTTCTTCTTTCAGTTGTGCAAGAAACTCACGTAAAGGCTGTAAAGTTTGTACTTCAATGTTAAACTTCTTTTGAAAATTTTCGTAAAATGTAATTATACAGTCTTCTAACGTCGTACTGTTTTTAAAGTATTTGTATATGTGAATGTTTTGGGCGCTTAAAGACTGTTCGTCATTTTCTATCTCGACTTGAAGTATAAAGTCAACCTTTCTGAAAGCACGTGTTATATACATAGATGTTATGCCAATGTACTTCTCTTCATTTATGTTCACAATCCAGTCTGTTGGAAACTTAAACGTTACTCTGTTCCCCTTTATTTTGACGTCAGGGTTTTCACTAGTGAACGCAACAGATAAAGGTATTTGTCTATACATTTAATTCGGATAAAAATAAACCATTTACTCTTTCTTTGCTTCAGCTTATTTAGCTTTTGCTTCAGCTTCTTCTCTAGCTTTTTTCGCCAGTAGTCTTGGGTTCTTCTGTCTTCCAGCAGCTAATGCAGCAAGTTGTTTTTCACTAAGTTTTCTCTTTGGTCTCTCTGGCTTTTGTTCTTGTTTTTGTTCCTTCAGTTCGGATAAAATTTGCTCACGAATTTCTTTCTTCAATGCTTCAACATCTATGACCCCTTGGGTCTTGTCCGTAGGGCTTGTCTGAGTCATTTGACTGCAGATAAAAAACAAAATTAAAACTTTAACCGATGTAAAATGAGCTTGTCAAAATCAGAGCGAGAGTCTATTATATTAAATGACGCAAGAGGAATACAACATCCTTTCTATTATGTAAGTCAGAGTAAAGATGGTAAAATATATGTAAGAAAAAGAAAGGTTCCATTAGCGAATACAGAGAGCGACAACATTAAGGTGCATGGCACCGAGGGCGAAGCCCATATAAAACCTTCTGTTCAAACTGAGCCACCAAAAGAACAAGAAGAAAAGAAGCCAGATGTACTTTCAATAACGAACCAAGAGCTTATTGCAAAGTTCGTGAATTTCATTGAAAAACAAACCGAGTCAAAGAACCCTGACCCGCCAGTGAAAGAAGTTGAGACAAAAGAGAATGTACAGTTCATTGAAAATGTCAAGAAACAACTTCCACCACGAATGCCAAGAAGAAGAGTGAGAATAATGAAGTAAATAGATATTTTTATCTGAAGTAAATACATGCAGAACGAACAGCTAAACGAATTTACTCCAGCAGAGCATATTCATCAGATTCGCTCATATTTCGATATCATAGACAATGCAGTTCAAATTGGTGACACTAATAGAAAATATTCTGACGCAAAGATTCCATCACAACCTGGAACTGCTAAAGATAACACATGGGTAACATTCAATCTCTCACCTCCTGGTGAAAATATGTTGGACCTTTACAATACATTCATTACGTATAAAATGGAAGGTCAATTTATTGTAGATAAAGAAATTGGTTCAGGTTCCAATAAAACAAACCCACCAGGATTTTGGATTGGTTTCGATGACGCTTTCTATGCAGTTGCTGGATATCAAATCCTTGCAAATGGTCGTATCGTATATTCTCAAGACAACGCAAGAGAAGAAGCATATATAACTTCAAACTCACAAACTACCGAACAAATAAAGAAAGTAGATGTTTTCTCAAAGACTCGACATGAAGATGTATGGAGTCATTCGGGAACATGCAGAACAGGACAAATTGTTAGTGGTCCAATTACAGCAGGAAAATCAAATGATTTTAAGCTTCGTTTAAGAATTCCTGTTAGAAGATTCCTTCCATTAGAAGCTATTCGATTTATTCCAGCTTTTGCAGGAAACATTCAGCTTAAAGTAAAGTTCAGTAGCGACGCCTTACAATGCACATCTATATCTGTAAATGATATCATTGCTTTCAATCCAACTCTTAAAGTTGCATTTGCTTCAGATTCAAATCCACCGACAAATAAATTTGTTCCATGGAATGAACCATTCACTATGATAACGAAGGCAGTAGAAGCTAGTGGAACAGTTACTATTACAACTGTAACCCAGCAACTATTTCGAACAAAGATGGATTTTAATGAATGTTTCATTCATCCAAAGTCATTCTCTTTAGACCCTAACATTTATACAGAACTTGTAGAACATTATACAAACGAGGCTTTATGTTTTCCTGTTAAAGTTATGGATTGGATTCCTATGGACGGTTCATTCTCAAAGAATACAGATAGTTCAAGTGCAACATTTACAGCAGCTTATACACCTATTAATGTTAAAAGTATTTGGGCACTATTTAGAAAGAAAGACAACTATTATGTTAATTTTGAGAACCCTAAGTTTAAATATCTTCAGCTTTCCATGGGAGCTTATGGAAATATGCCTGCAGAACCTGAAAAATCATATGGACCTGTATTTTATGAAATGGTTGCGAACGCTTGCAATACAAACAATGATATGATAGGATTTAATGAAGATGTTATGAGGTCATTGGTGGATGATGGTAGTGTGGAACATAAATGGGATAGCTATGACAACACACATTTCTTATGTGGTTTTCCAACAGAAGTGGACTTTTGCTTCCAGCAAGGTCAAACATCTACTGCTCCAATAACATACAAATTGTCTGTTAAAGGACCTATTGAACTAGCAACTGAAAACGTACCAAAGCCACTTATTGGATTTATGAGGGATTGTTGCTTTGCCATTCAGGTGCGTGCTAATGGCATCCCCATAATAAGATTAGACGACTATAACTTAGCTACGGACGACAGTGAGGAATAAAGGATGAACGTTTATTTTTAAAGCTTATAAATGAGTTCTTCATCAAGCTCTCGTGAACCTTCACCATCTATGAAACAAACTTTACCAAACGATTATGGAGCACCTATTGAATATTTCTTACGAGCTGCACAATGGCAAAGAGCAGTCTCACCAAGGTTAGGTGTTCCACCAGCTCCTGTCAAAAATAGCATTAGTTAGTATACATATCTAGTGTACGGAGGCATTGCACGCCTCCTTACCCATTATATGTGAATTTGACACTTTACAAAACCGTTAACGTATATTTTACAACACAAACGACAACACTAACTTAACCTTAAATATTTACAAAGCCACCAACCACTTCACCTCACTAATGTAAAAAATAAACATTCTCACTAATGTAAAAAATAAACGTTCTCACTAATGTAAAAAATAAACGTTCTCACTTATAAAAGTATTGCAACTCCTCCCATTGCTGTGCTTCACATAACAGCTCATAATCTTCTGACTCACTTTCTTCTTCATATAGGTCAAAATCACTGTCAAAATAAATGTATGTAAGTTTTGACAAAGCTAATGAAACACGCTTACCGTTAGTTAGTATACATATCTAGTGTACGGAGGCATTGCACGCCTCCTTATCCATTATATGTGAATTTGACACTTTACAAAACCGTTAACGTATATTTTACAACACAAACGACAACACTAACTTAACCTTAAATATTTACAAAGCCACCAACCACTTCACCTCACTAATGTAAAAAATAAACGTTCTCACTTATAAAAGTATTGCAACTCCTCCCATTGCTGTGCTTCACATAACAGCTCATAATCTTCTGACTCACTTTCTTCTTCATATAGGTCAAAATCACTGTCAAAATAAATGTATGTAAGTTTTGACAAAGCTAATGAAACACGCTTACCGTTTGTATCGTATGCTTGTATAAACTTTCCATTCTTCATCCCTTCATAAACGCTCAAACTAACTTTACCCTTTCTCCCTCGTATCTGATAGAATGTATTTTCACGAGGAACGAAGAACAAATTCTTGAACTCATGACCGTTGTAGTTTGTTATCTCAATAGTTTTCGTCATTTATATAAAAATAAAATAAAAAATAAACTTAAAAATTAATGATATCACCACCCTCACACGTATGAAAAACATAGCACAAAAATAAATTTAGGTGAATGGTGAATCTCACCTCTTTTTTCACCTTTTTTCACCCTGTTGAATTCATTGCTTTATAACTCTCTTCCTTGGTTTCTTTTTAGTTGCTTTCTTCACGTCTGTCTCCAACTTGACTGTCTTTCTTCTTCGTCCGTAATGATACCAGTTACTTCCACCAGTCAATGGGTCAAATGGTCTTTCGTAAGGGTTTCCATACATTCCATAGGACCATACGGAAGAACTACTGGTGGAGAAGAAACATTTTCTTTAGTTCCATCGACTCTATTTAAATGCATTGTTTCACCTTTCATCTGGTCATTAAAGTCTTTTGCGTGTTTTGCAAACTCATCGTCCTTTCCTAAAGCATTTTCTGACTCAGTCGCAACCAAATTGGATGCTTTATTTATGAGCCCTATTTTATTTAATCTTAACTTCTTTGCAACCCAGCCTCCAATCTTCCCTTTATTTGCATCTAATGTCTTCGAAACCCTTCCTCCACTCATTTTATTTACTGCGTCATAAGCTCCAAGTGCTTTTGCTCCAAATGCTAATGCTTTTGTTCCCATTGCGCCTAAAGCTGCCCAAGCTACCATTTACACCATATTAAAATCATCTCTCTTCAATATTATCTCATAAAAGTTCTCGTTACTGGAGAAAGTCAATGAAACATAAGCGTTCTCACGGGCTTCGCCCTCACCGCTTTGCGGTCTATCTAACTTCTTTCTTATATCATCTATACGCTTCAAAATGTCTGAACAATTGCTAACATCTTCTACAACAGTTATTTCATCATGAATGACCTTCAAGAACAAGCTCATTTAATATGCAATTAAAATCATTCTCAATAATGAGTCCATCCTTTCCATCTTTAGGTAGCACAACATCTTTCATTGAAGAAGGTTCGACAAGTCTTATGTTAAACTTACTGACAAAGTTTGTTATACTATAATGCTTCGGCGGCGAATACATGTAGTTTGAAAGACATAATATAGATTCTTCAGCAAATTCACTTATACTGGATTTTATAACAATGTTCTCACGAGACCAAATACCACCAATTGACAATCTTGTAAGCAATCCTGCTGAACCTTCTACTGTAAACGTCGATGGTAACATTCCACGAAGGTCATCTATTGACATCGTTGAGTCACTGTATTTAAATATTTTCTTAAAGCAATCGTCATTATCTAACCATGCAATAGCTTTGAAGTTTTCATTCGAATATACATCTGCTTCATTAAATGTAAAACCTGACTTCTTTGCAGAGATGACTTTAAAATCTATTGAGTTTGTTTCAAAATTATATGCTATGGTAACTTCTGAAGGTAATGGATGTCCTTCCGCAGTCAGTTGTTCTCTCACTACCGTTTGAAGCTTTGTGTTAAAAACTTTCATGTCATCTCCTGTATCTAGTTCACATACACAGCAACAGGGAAACTATCTTGCTTCTTTGTTTCATCATTATATCTCAAAACATTAAAGTTCTTCAATAATATTGTTCTTCCTGCTGGAATACTTCGAACCTGTCTGATTTCAATAGCTTTCTCACCTCCTACATACTCTACCCAGTGTCTTGGATATTCATAAGTATACTGACTTTCTTGAATTTTGGTAGGTTTCATCATAACGTGTTCATAGTATATCTTTATACTCTTGTCAGTTAGACTCGGTGCTATGTTCTGAATATTTCTGACTTGCATTTTTAATGGAGATAAAATGAAGCATTTAATACATGACGTAGATGAAGACATGAATGAAACTACAGACAAACTTAACTCTTCTCTATTCTTCCTTTCAGTAAGGACTATGAGTTCTGTTCAAATGGTGTTATTTCTATTGTGGAAAGATGGGTTCAGGTAAGACATTTAACCTCATTCGTCATATACTCATAACAGAACGTTTAGGAAATGACTCATATTATGACCAAATCATTATATCAGCAACTTCAGACTCTATGGACTCAACAGCGAAAACATTTATGTCAAAAGTTCAAGCCTCTGTCGTTAAAGTTCCAGACAGTGAACTCATTGAATTTCTTCAACGTTACATTCGACGTAAGAGGAAAAATTATGCCATCGTTGAATTTATACAGTCAGGAATGCAAAAGACTTCTGAGGAGATGGAAAGAATTATTGACAAACACCACTTACGTCAATACTCAGGAGTTTACAATATGAAACGACTTACAAACTACATTCTGTCAAAACTTTCAAAATACCCCTTCAAAAAATATCCATCAAACACTTTATTAGTTTGTGACGACTTCGCTGGTAAAGGTTTAGTATCAAAACCAGACTCACCATTAGCTAACATCATTACTAAAGTCAGACATTACCACTTAACTGTAGCAATACTTATGCAAACATGGAGGTTTTAGCTTTAAACATAAAACGTCTCATAACTGACTTCGTTATCTTTCAAGGTTTCTCACGCTATGATATTGAACTCATTTGGAAACAGTCAGGTATAACATTACCTTTTGAAGAAATTTGGGAAGCATATAAGTCTCTCATCTCTCCTCGTTCATACCTTGAGATTCATATCATGACTAATACCATTAAAGTCAAAAATATTCCATGGGAACGACCAACATTGTTTTAAAGTTTAACCTTCAATTGACTGATGGTAAACAAATTCCATGCATCTCTGTCGCCATTTCTGTTAATATTTTTGCTGTCATTCATATCATCCACTTCCCCATCCGTTAGCTTTTGAGGATATGCGTTAGAATAGCTGTTCTTAAATGAAGGCTTTTCACCTTTGAGAGCATAAACTCTATAACTTTCTGCATACTTTATGTTTGAACCTCCTGAGCCATCATTGACATAAATTTTTATAGGCTTCCACCCTTTGTTCATTCCTGCTTCTTCCCTTAGCTCTTTTGTTCAGTAGTTCTACATCTTTATACACAGCACCTGTCTCAGTGAATTCAACAATATTTTTCATTCGTTAGCTTTACATTCAAACCCTTGTCGAGTATATTGTTCATTTCATACATATAAAAGGTTTTTATTCTATATGAAATGAGAAGCAAATCCATCTTAGCTGGTGCCGTTAATGTTCCAATTGAACCAACATCAAATGTTGACTCACGAACGACAAACAATATTGTCATAAAGAACTATAGTTCAGAGTGTTTGAAAGAAAAAGAACCAGAACTTAAGTCGGTGAATTTAAACTCAGCTTCAAACGCTAACGCTACATCAGATGTTAAGTTAGAGTATCCACCACTGGACCAAATTCTTTCAAGAGAAGCCAACGACAACCCTTACACAAATGTTCAAACAAATCCTTCAGATAACGTAGACCATTACCTTCTTCAGTTATACCAAACAATTTTACTCAAAGACGATAAGAAGCTTTTGACAAATCTTATAAGCAAGAACCAAATAATTCTAACAAAGGAGGACCTTGAAAATGTTATCTCACGAATAACAGGGAAACAATGTGTCATTGACTATCTCGACCCTGAAATCGAATGCTGTGGTCAAACGCCACCATTCATGAAAATAGGTAACATCCGCATCATTGAAACACCAGGAACTACAGGAGTTGAGTTTAAGTATAAATATTCGAACGAGTATACAAAACTTTCAACAGAATATAAACTTTGCTTGAAATATGTTTTAGTAAATTAAAGCAATTTGTAATATCTATCCAAAACTTCTTCAACAGTATCGAACTCATCTTCATAATGCAAACCTAATCTTATTGACTTGGTGCAGTTTTCACTAACACAATATTTTTCTGTTCTCTTGACTGACATAACTAACTCATTTGTTTCATCAAACAGCAACAACCAAAGTTCATGACCTAATACATAACATTCATACTTTATATTTTTAGCTCTGAGTTCTCTTGTAAGCTGTTGCATTTAATATTTTCTAAAAAGTCAACTTCAACAGTCATTCGCACTGGTGCCTTCAGTTCTACAGGCTCTCCTTGAAAGTCAACAAGTCTGAATTGCATGTCTTTCAAATTATGAGGACTAATGCGAACCCATTTACCTAAATGAGTTGCTATGACAGGAACGTTTGGAATGAACATTGAATTGACTGCATAACAGAAGGATTTATATTCTACTGAACCTTTACTATTAACTCCTGAAATGCCTGTGACATTAGCTATTTTAGACTCAATGTATAAACAATTACCATAACATACGTATGGAACAGATTTCATCTCAATCGTTTTGTCAACACTTTTCAAAGGAAATGTCATATGGTATGCACCCAAAAGAAGTTGTACTCTATGACTCATTCTTGGTATCTTAAACTCCTTCGCATAACTGAACTTCAAAACTCCTGCAATAAGTTTAACATTCATTAAGTTTTCTTCGTTATCCTTGTTTATTGTAGTATTTATGAGAGCATTTAACACTCCAGCTAATGTTTCCATCTTATATTCTACATTATTGTGAAATCTTATTTCGTGCTTCTTTCCATCTATTTCAATCTCCATGAAATCTGTTTCATCTGTTATAACGAATGAAGCGATAGTATTGAAGTCAACCATTCTGAATGCAAGCGCCTCATTCTGTAGACCTAAGTTTGTTTGTAGCTTTACTGTCCCGTATTCGTTTGGGTCTGTACTTTGCAAATAGAACAACATTTTATTCTCATTAAAATATGAGTATAGCTGCATATGCGTATGAAGCTGACAGAGCTAAACGTTTATATTTTGGTCAATACTCTCTCACACTTACTGACAAATATATTGTTATCACTGATGGAAATACTGAGAAATACATAACATGGAAGGACTATGAAAAGTTTGACCCTATTTTAACTCCATGTACTATGCCGTTTATAAAGGACGGTGAAATTATTGAAAAAGATAATACAACCGTATATAGGTCTGTTTATGAAGCATTAGAATATATGTTGAATCATAACCCAAAAAGATTTGACCCAAGCACTACACCATGTGCAATGCCTTTTATTAAGGACGGTGAAATCGTAAGAGTTCCGGATTCAACGGTTTACACAGCTGTTCAAAACAGTTTACAAAACATTTTAGCGAATATCTTTAATTCAGAAACTACAGAAATAAAATTACCGTATATAACAGATGCTAAAGAAATTAAATCAAAAACGACAACATTATTTACGTCACTTAATGATTTAATGACTTATATCATTAATATTCCTGCACCAACTACAGCATTTGATCCAAACTCGACGGTTTGCAGTGTACCTTTCATAAATGACAGTTCATTAATTGCTTTAAGGGATTCGACAGTAAATGAATCATTAAAGGCGTCATTAATGAAAATCATTGATTTTAACTCATTCACGAATACATATAATTCATTCATTAATGTTTCATATGCTTCTAAAGAAGGTGAGCCAAAAACTATCGATAAAGCGGTGTATGAAATAAAAGCATCAACGACGAAATTGAATTCGTTAACTTTTGACGGTGATAGTTTCGTTAATGACATAACATCGGGGAAAACAATTTTAACGAAAGAATACTTAAAATCTCATGTTAGTGAGTTCGTTGAAATTGAAAAAGAAGGTGGAATTAAGTTCGATCCACTGAATTTCATTTTCAGCTTAGCGAATGCGGGTGTTAGTTTCGCTGAATGGACAACTATACAGAGTGAAATAAATGCAATATGGACGTTTTTGGGGTCAAAAGCGGGAATGGGTGAGCTTGTAAATGCTGCAAGAACATTAGGTGAAACAGGAAATTTTGTAGATGGTTTTAAAAGACTTGTTTCAAATGTTTTAACAAACACAAAGAAATTATTTAGATATACCGTACATAACGGACGGATTTTCGAACAGATAGCAACAAACCCTCCGGTTATACTGCTGCGTTGATGATGGTTAGAGATATAAAACCACGTAACGACGGGAACGAAGAACATGAACAACAGGATACTGGTCGGGTTATTCGAGACATTAAAAACGTGTATCCTGAAGTTATTGATTTATTTAGAGGAGTTAATGATTCAATTTCAAAACATTCTATAACCCTCGATGAAGAGAATAAATTAACAGATTATATATTCGTCATTATTGCAGAATTAATGAAGAGAATAAATGAAAAAGGAATTGGTGATATCATTAATGTCAGCGATGTAATGATGAAAAGAAATTTTGACTCATTATTTACAAAACCGAAAACAGAATATAGTCTTTATGACGTAATTACCGAATTAATGAAAAAGATTAATGATAATAAGAGTTCTGGCGGAAGAGTTGAATTAGAAGTGAATGAGATAGAAGAGAAATTAGCCGAAAAAGCAGACAAAAATGAGCTTTTAGCTCTGAGTGATAAAGTCAAGAACCACGTTCATTATATAACTTCAGACGAACAGATTATAACGGACTACCATGGATATTTAACACGAAGTGATGAAGCGAAGACAAAAATTTTAATGAAAGAAGATATAAATACATTCGTGCTAAAGGTTATGACATAAGCTGTACTGTACAGTATGATGTAGCTAAAGCACCAGAAGCATTTGGTTATACCGGTGAAATTTATGCCTCTACTTTCAATGTTAACGGTGTATTAGTTGAACCAAAGATTTACTTGAGAGTTAAGTCAAAAATAACGTTTGAAGATGCTATTAAAAGTAAAGCTGACAAAGTTGAACTCGAAGCAATGAACAAAGTTTTGAAATCTCATAAACACAACATCTCCGATATAAATGAACTTCAAGCTACATTAGACAGTAAAGCTGACAAGAACCATACAAACGAATCCTTCACTACTGTTAGAGCAGACGATGTAATATTGAACTATACTCTCGGTTCAAGTGCACCTTTAGAGAATCCAAGTACAAGCGTAAAAGATACACTAAACTCCTTAAATAACAAATGTATGAACATTGAAGGTCATGCCAGAAACTTTGAAACACATGAACTACCAGCAATGTTAGATAAGAAAGCAGACAAAGAACATACACATAACTTCTTCTCAACTGTTGCTATAGAAAGTATTGAAGGAACGGTTGACGGAACTGATGGGGATGCATTATATTATAAACCTCCTAACTTTCCACAAGGTTTAACATCGAATGAAAACATAACAACGAATAAAAAAATTAGCTGTAAAAATGTTTATGTCATGGGTGATGAAAATAATGTTAAATTCACTGCTCAAGATTTATATGATAAGAAAGCAGACAAAACAGAGCTTCAAACATTAAAGACTGAAATACTTCAAACATTATATCCTATAGGCTCTATTTATACGTCAATGAACTCAACATATCCAGCAACAGTTCTGGGTTTTGGTACGTGGCAGCAGATTGTAGACAAATTCTTATACTGTGCTAACTCTTCAAAGCAAACAGGAGGTTCGAAGAAAATTACTGAAGCAAACCTTCCACCGCACACTCATACAGGAACTACAAACTTTTCTGGCGACCATAGCCACTCATTAAGAGACCACCCATTATACAACTCAGAGTATGAAGCTGGCAATGATGTTTTATCTCCATCTTATAACAATGCAGCAAAAAAGACTTTTCGACAAACTGAACCTGGAGGAAATCATTCACACACTTTCACAACAAATCCAACAGGCTCGGGTGAAGATTATATGCCACCATTTATGACTATATTCGCATGGTATAGAGTTCATTGAACGCGCTTGAGCCTAGAATAAAATCTTTAACTTTACATAAATGAGCTTGAAAGAAGTATTCGAACAACATCCATGGAGGTCATTTAAGAAGTTCAATGAAGCTGCAAAGAGTTGGGGATTTACTAACAGAGCTGAAGTGAAAAGGTTCTTTGACAAAAATGTTGTACATCAAACAAAAATAAACCCTTACGACTACTTTTTACCAATTTACTCCAACACTCCTGACGCATACCAATTTGACACTCTCATTCAAAGCAGAAAAGGAGGACATAAACCATTCCTCATCTTCATTAATGTTAACACTCGTAAAGCATTGCATATCCAATGAAAAATAAAGGAACTCGTGAAGTGTTAAGAGTTTTACAAAAGTTTGTAGCAGAACATAGCCCAAGTACTTTAACATCAGACCAAGACAGTGCATACCTCAGCAATGAAATCACAGATTTTCTCATTAAGCATAACATAACTCACTACACTACTGAAGACCATAACCATAACATACTCGGCATCATAAACCGCTTCATAAGAACGCTCAGAGATTTAAACCAAGAGCGAGACTTTACCGAAGAAACAATGAAACATTTTCTCGAAGTATATAATTCCTCAACACATTCTACAACAGGACATACACCAAATTCAATGACACAACAACAAGAAGAAAAGTATATACAAAAGAAACGAAGCCAAACACAAAATATCAGAAATTCAACACAATTTACCCTCATTCCTGGTACAAAAGTTCGTGTAGTTCTTGACGACAAACCGTTGACAAAGAAACGTTTAAGGTTAAGTAGAAACTATTATATCGTAGACTCTACGCAAGGTAATGGATATCTTATAAAAGCTGCTGACGACTCTATTGCGTTTTACCCTCGACATAAATTAGTTGAAAGTAGTAATGGCAAACTTGCTGAAACCATTGACGAAGCAAAGCGAGGAGTGGTTATTGAAATACTTGGCTATAACATAAACGATGACACTTATAAAGTAAGATATGAAGGAGGCGTTGAAGATGTTATACCATCTAAGAACTTGAGAGAGTCAAAGACAACACATCTGGGACCATTAGAGCGGGAGTACTGGAAAGACAAAAATAAGCCAGAAAGAATAAGAAAATTCTTCTAAACTTTTTCATTAGATGTAAATCAGACATGAATGAGAACAGTCATGATATCATTAATGGTACCATTTATTTTTGTCATAAATTTACACCAAAAATATATTTTAGGTGAAGAGGTGAGATCTCACCCGTTTTTTCACCTCTTTTTTCACCCTCATGAATTTTCATGAATTTCCTTAAGATAGAAAAAATAAAGTTAGTTTTATTTTTATTTATTTTTTTTATTTTGTATGTAAAGATATGATTTCAACAATCGGCACAACAACAATTCAAGCCACAACTACAGCACCAAACTCGCTAGTCATGAATCCTACGTCAATGTTGGTAGAGATGAAAAAACTTCATTCCTTCTTCATATACTTTCGAAACAAAAATCCAGAAGATAAAGCAAGAACTGTTAACAAGTAATTTAGACTGTACCGCACAGGATGAAGAAAATGAAGAATATCTTTATGACATGCAGGACCTCATCGACCATTTACCTAAACTACCTGAAATTCAGCAAAAAACTAACCATTCCCGAATTTGACGAAATTGAAGTCAAAGCAACTGACTCGGTAGAAATAAAGAAGTTCATACGAAAGGTAAACTATGAGTTTCTAGGATATCATTGCAACCATAAAGTTATGGACAAAGATTGCGACATGGTTTATAAAAATATTTCTGACCTTTACAAATCCGAAGAATTTAAGACATACGACAACTTTGTTTCATTAATTGCAGAATGTGTATGGCAGATAAGAGATAAAGATAGAAGAGGTAAAGTATGGAATGAACAGATAAAACCAGCAGCTTTTGAGTTAAAGAAAACCATTGACGCCTTAGTTGTTCTAGCTGGTTTTATTTCAATGTATAACGCAAAAATGATGCCGCAATGTTCAAAATGTAAAGCAGCAATAAGAAAATATAACTACTCAGTCAAAGAGATAGAAATAATGCGAAACGACTATGCAGACTTAAAGAAAGAAGCAGAAAAGCCAGCAGAAGATAAAATGGATATGTTGACATTTCTTAATAAAAACTATTCAACAGCAGAAGATTTCCTTCTTTCTGACGTCAAGAAGAAGTATAAAGAAACTTTCGGCATGATTAAAACATTCGATGTACTAAAAGAAGAAATAGAAGCTACGAAATTGTTTAGGATTTCAAATATACATCGTACAATTCATGTAAAACGCTTGTGAAAAAAACAGGTGAAAAAACGGGTGAGAAAACGGGTGAGATCTCACCTCTTCACCTCAACATTATTTTTGCTGAAAAATGACCAAATTTCATGAATTTTCATAAAAGATAAAAATAAAGTTATTTTTATTTTTATTTATTTTTTTATCTTGTATGTAAAGACAGTAATGTCAAACATTGAGTTTGAAACAGTAAGAAAGATTGACAATGACACCAAAGTGGTTAGAATTGGTGATTTAAACGTAAGATACTGTAAGAAATACAACAAATATTCTTTGTCAGACATTATAACACCTTCTGGAAAGAAAACAAAGGACTGGGTTAGAATTGCTTCTACTCAGAAAATTTTGACAAGAAATCCTGAGCTCATGATATCGGTAAGATTCTATGGAACTACAGCATATCTCATTGACAAAAGTCTTATACCAATAATTCTTCTGTGGATTGACCCTGTTGTTGGATATAACTTCATAACTTATGGTTCATTCGACTCAGAACGTTGCAGTGAAGGCTTACTTTACATCGTTCAGAAACCGAAGGACTTCAATACAAAGAGATATAAGATAGGAAGAACATATAATATAACTCAAAGATATGACAGTACAGTCAATAGAGTCAAGGTTGTGTTCGTTAATGATATGAGAGCCGCAGAAACAGAACTACTCGAAAAGTTTGAGAAAATGTATGGTGCTCCCATAAAAGGTAAAGAAACGTTTGAAGTAGATGAGATAGATAAAGCTATAAAATTATTTGACGAAGTTGCTGAAAAATACATGTAAAGCGTTTATTTTTGTCTTTTGTGAAAGTCAGAAAATAACGCTAATTTTTTCCTAACAAAAATTTTTATCTTGTATGTAAAGACAGTAATGTCAACATCAGAGAACACAACAACTGCTATCGTTCATGAAGCCATAAATGAAGAATACGAGTACATACAGTATAACAAACAGTTACGTCTCATTCGTTCAGTCAAAGACGATATGTACCAAACGCAAAGTATAATGAATGCTCTTCGTTCTACAAAGCAAGCATATCATTGGTTTGAAAACCAACAGACAAAAGAACTTTTAGAAGAATTTCCTCATATAATTGCTTTGCAGAATGAAGAGATTCCGTATGAAAATCGCAAGAATTTGGCTCCTTGTTTGAAAGGTTATTATGTTCATAGACTTTTAGTAAACGCTGTAGCAATGTGGGCTTCACCTCGTTATGCTTGTTATATTTTCATGATGTTAGATGAACTATATAAAGCAAAAGATGAAGTCATTGAATCCAAAGACAAAAGCATACAGAAAAGAATACCGCGTTCAGTACCAAAAGGAAAGGAAAAGAGTTATAGGTATATGATATATACTGAAGAATTGGAGAAAGAAGAAGATAAAGATATGGTTATGTTGCATTTAGTCAGAAGAAACAACAAGAGCTTTTATGACTTAGCTAAAATATATAAATCTGACAGAAACTGGTTCTATCGTGAAAACTTACCGATTTCAATGACACCGAATGAGCAAATAAAGGAAATTGTCAAAAATACTCTTCCTCAAACACACTATGACATCAAAGGTTGCACAATACTTACATTCAAAGAAGACTTAACATTACTGAAGGAAAAAATAACAGAATATTTCGATAACTTCAAAGAGGAAGAATGAAGTCACGACAACATTAACGATGAAGTCACGACAACATTAACGAAGAGAGAATGAGGTGAAAAAAGAGGTGAAAAAACGGGTGAGATCTCACCTCTTCACCTAAAATATATTTTTGTGCTATATTTACACTCATTAACGATAACATTAACGATAACATAAACGATAACATAAATGCTCCATGTCAATTATGTTCGACACTGATAACATAAACGATAACATAAACGATAACATTAACGATAACATAAATGCTCCATGTCAATTATGTTCGACACTGATAACATAAACGATAACATTAACGATAACATTAACGATAACATTAACGATAACATAAACGATAACATAAACGATAACATTCATTTTTGCATTAATCTCTCCATGTTGTCAAAATGTCATGTTGTCTCATTTTTTCAGAAAAGTTAAATTACCTGGTGACCTGGTGACCCGGTGACCTCATCAGTTATTCAAAAATATATTTTTGCTTAAATAGCTTCAGGGTCTATTTCGTCAACCATTTCACTTCCTTCGTCAATGTCAATAGAAGCTTCTTCAACCTTTGGTAAGAATTTCTGTATAACATCTTTGTTCGTTATTGTCTTCAGAGATGAAGGATAATATTTCACATTTGTTTCACCCTTCTTATATTCTTTCTGTTCGGAAAGATTTAAAGCAATACTGAAGAAGTCAATGTTAGAGTTCTTTATGACAGTATAATGAGTATCTTTGACATTCACGAAGAAACCCTTTTGTTTCAAAACTACTGCTAACTCTTGTGAAGTATAACGTTTGCGGTCAATGACGATAGCTAATGGTCTGACATACTGACCAAACTTAGATTCTTTCACAAACTTCTTGTTAAAGATAACATTAACATTTGAAGCATTATTGAACTCATTCTTGATGGCAGTAGCGAGAGCATTGTATGAAAAGAACTTGCAATCTTGCATGTGTTTCATTAAAATAAAAATATTAAGTTATTTTGAAAAATAACTTAAAAAAATCTAATCTAATTTTTTCAAAAAATATTTTTTTATTTCCTACTAAAGATGTATCGGAAGTTGTCTAAGTTAGAACACTCGGAAATAAAACAACTTCTTACAGAAGCTAATAGATGTTGCAAACATTACGCAACAAACAAAAAAGCACTCGCTGACTTCATTCAAGACTATAATGGTGCAATAAGTTATGATAGAATTCATGAGTTCATAAAGCCGCAACGCGGCGAGGACGAAGTCCATGCAAGAGCATTTCCTTTAAATGACGTTGCTATTGACTTATATCATAGACGTTCAGTACCTCATGAAGTAAGAAGAGAAATGTTTGACATAACAAATGCAAACGTTGGTGAAACAAGAAGAAGAGACGACACACTGAAACAACAGAGAAGAGAGATGTTTAAGAGCGCTATAGAACAAGTTCGCAAAGCTAACGATGTCCTTCGTTCCATTGACGACAAACCAAAAGAAGGTGAGAGATGGTTAAAGAAAGATGAAGAGAATAGGAAGAGGAATGTGAAGTCAGGCAATAGACTCATTGACTTTAACATTGAAGCTTTAGATGAACCAAACAGAGACTACTTACACAAACATTTCGGTAAGGTTTTCATGAGACTCTTAGAGAAATTAAAATAAACTCACAACAGAGATGGATGGTATGTTATAAACTTGGTGGAAAGTATGAATGTTCTACGTTAAACCTCAATAATATTGGAACATTACTACATCAGCTCTTGAAGGAGAACTTTATATCAGAGATAGAAGCAAATGCTGCAGGTATTGTTGAAATGCACTATGACTTCTTCTTGACAAACATAAAGAATCTTACGAAATAAAGATGTATGATTTAACAGAATATGAAGGCTTAACGATGTCAGATGTAAAGAAAGGCAAACCAAAAAAGAGACCATATAGAGATGAAAGCACACTGACAAATGACCAGAAAGCCATTTTGGAAGCTCTTAAGCAAACAGGAAACCCAGCACTTATAGAAAGCTTTTGGAAAGATAATGGTGAAAAGAAGTTTTATAAGAAAGAAGCGGTCAGTTCTGGAAGTATCTTTGCACATTACCTATAAATCTTGAGCGCTACCAAATCTTCAATGAACTGAACAAAAGAACTGCAACACTTATGACAGAAGATAACTGCTTCGTTTATGCTTGCATTCAGGCTGGAGTAAATGAAGAAACTATTGACCACATGAGAGAAGTCATTCGTGTTAGAGACTTTCCTCAAAGTAAAGTACAAGAAATTTCTGACGCAACAGGTATAGCATTTAATGTTACCATTGGTTATTTCAATGACTCAAGACATAATGAAATAAAGAGATACATACCAAAAGAATGTGAAACTGTTCGAACTATTGACTTACTTCTTGTTGAAGACCACTACATGCTAAATGAAAGATTACCAATGACAACATATTTTGTCAGAAATTACAAAGAAAGTCTCAAAGCTTGTGGTGGAATGAACATTGAGAAACAAATGAAGATTTATACAAAGAGAGAAGATAAATACATAGTTCGTTATGATAGAACAACACCGTTATGGGATGTTATGAAAACATTGTGGGAGTGCAAATATTTCGAACCTATTTCTTATGGAGAACTTTTCACATATACGACTGACTTATATAAACAGAACCTTGCACCATTTAAAGATTTGACATATGCTCCAAAGTATTGTGTACAACTGAAGAAGAAAGCCGAGTCAAAAGAAGTAAATAAAAATAAGTGCAAGTTCATTCCTGAGCACGTTTTCTTTGCTGACTTTGAGTGTAGCACAGACGGCTTTCATAAAGCTTTTAACATCTGTTATGACAGTGAAGATGGTTCAGTGAGTGAAAGCATTTGGGTCAGAACTGTGCAACAGAATTTTTGGAACGACTTCCTGACAAGAGTTTAATATATTTCCATAACCTCAGTTATGATATAAACTTCATCTTAAGACACATGACAGAAGTGAAAGGAACTCCCATCATTAAAGGTTCACGAACAATGCAAATAACTGGCTTATATAAAGGAAGGGCAATTATTATAAAAGACTCTTACAGTGTTATAAATAAGAAGCTTAAACTATTTCCTGCTATGTTTAACTTACAAACAGGACCGAAAGAAGTATTTCCATACAACTACTACAGCAGTGTTTTGTTAGCAAATGACAACAGAACTGGTGTCATTTCTGAAGCATGTAAGTTTATCCGGGATGCAGATACATTCATGAAAAACATAGATTCCATCAAAGGTTGCAGAATAGATGAGAACCACTTCGACTTAGAAAAGTATAGCACATTTTATTGCAAACAAGATGTAAGAATTTTAAGAGAAGGTTTTGTTAAGTTCCGCAATGACATATTGAAAGAATTTGATTTAAACGTTTATGACTACGTTAGTATTTGTTCAATTGCTAACAAATTATTTGAGAACAGAGTGTACTTCCCGAATGGAAATTTATATGACCTCTCAAATAAACCAAGAGAATTTATTTCACGCTGTATTCAAGGTGGAAGATGTATGTTGTCAGATAACATGAAACAAAAGAGTAAAGAGAAACTCATTGCTGATTTCGACGCTGTTTCATTATATCCATCAGCTATCGCGAGACTTTATACTTTAGAAGGTATTCCAAAGGTTATGAAGAAAGAAATGTTAAGCACAGAGTATCTCATGAGACATTTATTCGATGACGACCAAAAGGAACCCATTGGTGAAAAGTTTATGTCTGGCTTCTTTGTTCTCATTAAGATAACAGAGATTGGAATACATAGACACTTTCCTTTAATAGTTTGTGACCCTGAACTAAATCCAGAACTTAACGTTCCCAGAAGTTCAAACACTTGCTGTTTAATGTATGTTGACCATATAACATTACAAGACCTCATAAAATATCAAGGTGTCAAATGTGAAGTGTTGCAAGGATACTATTACGATGGAAACAGAGATATTAGAATAAGAGATGAAGTAAAGAAGTTGTTTGAGTTAAGGTTAAAGTATAAGAAAGAAGGAAATCCTTTGCAAGAAAATATAAAGCTCATTCTGAACAGTATTTATGGCAAAACTATTCTATCTCCTATTGAGTCAAAAATAACCATAGTAGATGACAAAGATGCTATAAGATATGCCATCAGAAACTACAACCATATAGTGAAGTTCGAAGGTTTGGATGGTTCAGATAAAACTATTTTCAAGCTAACGAAAAGCATTTGCAGACACTTTAACTTCTGTCCACTTGGTGTTAACATTCTGTCTATGTCGAAGAGAATAATGTGTGAAGTATTCTGTACTGCTGAGGACTTAGGAATGGACATCTTTTATAGCGATACGGACAGTATGCATCTCTACAATGAAGATATCCCTCGTTTAGCTGAAGAGTTTGAGAAACGTTATGGAAGAGTTCTCATTGGTAAAAACCTTGGTCAATTTCATAGCGACTTTGCAGAAATCACAAAAGATAAACAAAGTTTAGCATACAAGTCAATATTTTGTGGAAAGAAGACTTACATAGACTTACTCACGAATGATTTAAATGAAGTTGCATTTCACTGCAGAATGAAAGGCGTGAAGCAAGATGTTATTGCTTTAACCGCTAATGAAATGTTTCCTGACTCTGTTCAGTGTTTCTATGATGAAGATAAAGGTTTAATGGTTCCGCAAGGAACATATGACAAAGACTCTGAGTTCAGTTTAATGAAACTTTACAAAGCACTTTATGACGGTCAAGAGATTGGATTTGACTTATGTAAGTCATGTCAACCTTGCTTTGAAGAGAAGTTTAACTTCTCAATAACGACTAAAACAAGCTTTATTCGTAAGTTGAAGTTCTGAGGTCATTTATTTTTGTCAGCAATGAGGTCATTCGTGATAAAAATAAGTCCATGTGGTCATTTACAATACTGCGATGGTAGAGTTTAAGAGTTGTGCTTCAATGTAGAGACAGTCCTTATGGTCCGGAGGTAGCAAAACAGGTGCTTTATGGTCATGAGTGGAGAACATGTCTATCCAAAACTCACGATTGAAGCCAGTTAATTTATAGTATTTAGGGTTAGGAAGTGGTGAAGTTCTTGTATGACCAATGAACTCATTTTCAACTCCCTTACTTAAGTTTGAATATAATATAGCTTGCTTTCTATCCCAAATACCTGGAAATCTAATTTCGGAAAATTCATTTTTCCTCGGAAGCATTGCATCATAATTGAAAACATTCTTGAAATCATCACTTGGTTCAGAGATTTGAAATCTTATACGTAATGGATTTTTTTTCTTTTTAGCTACTTCATTGAATGGTGAGAATACAATGAATTGACAGTCATGAGTTCCATCTTCATTTTCATTAAATTCATAATGAAAGTCTATAAGTTGTGGCTGACTACCTTCTTCTTTCAGTTGTGCAAGAAACTCACGTAAAGGCTGTAAAGTTTGTACTTCAATGTTAAACTTTTTCTCGAACATCTCATTAAATGAAATCATACATTGTTGCAATGTTGTATCGTCTTTAAAGTATTTGTATATGTGAATGTTTTGGGCGCTTAAAGACTGTTCGTCATTTTCTATCTCGACTTGAAGTATAAAGTCAACCTTTCTGAAAGCACGTGTTATATACATAGATGTTATGCCAATGTACTTCTCTTCATTTATGTTCACAATCCAGTCTGTTGGAAACTTAAACGTTACTCTGTTCCCCTTTATTTTGACGTCAGGGTTTTCACTACTGAACGCAACAGATAAAGGTATTTGTCTATACATTTAATTCGGATAAAAATAAACCATTTACTCTTTCTTTGCTTCAGCTTATTTAGCTTTTGCTTCAGCTTCTTCTCTAGCTTTCTTCGCCAGCAAACGTGGGTTCTTTTGTCTTCCAGCAGCTAATGCAGCAAGTTGTTTTTCACTAAGTTTTCTCTTTGGTCTCTCTGGCTTTTGTTCTTGTTTTTGTTCCTTCAGTTCGGATAAAATTTGCTCACGAATTTCTTTCTTCAATGCTTCAACATCTATGACCCCTTGGGTCTTGTCCGTAGGGCTTGTCTGAGTCATTTGACTGCAGATAAAAAACAAAATTAAAACTTTAACCGATGTAAAATGAGCTTGTCAAAATCAGAGCGAGAGTCTATTATATTAAATGACGCAAGAGGAATACAACATCCTTTCTATTACGTAAGTCAGAGTAAAGATGGTAAAATATACGTAAGAAAAAGAAAGGTTCCATTAGCAAATGCAGAAAGCGACAACATTAAGGTGTATGGTAAGGGTGAAGTCCGTGTTAAGCCTTCTGTTCAAACTGAAAAGTCAATAGAACCAGAAGAAAAGAAGCCAGATGTACTTTCAATAACGAACCAAGAGCTTATTGCAAAGTTCGTGAATTTCATTGAAAAACAAACCGAGTCAAAGAACCCTGACCCACCAGTGAAAGAAGTTGAGACAAAAGAGAATGTACAGTTCATTGAAAATGTCAAGAAACAACTTCCACCACGAATGCCAAGAAGAAGAGTGAGAATAATGAAGTAAATAGATATTTTTATCTGAAGTAAATACATGCAGAACGAACAGCTAAACGAATTTACTCCAGCAGAGCATATTCATCAGATTCGCTCATATTTCGATATCATAGACAATGCAGTTCAAATTGGTGACACTAATAGAAAATATTCTGACGCAAAGATTCCATCACAACCTGGAACTGCTAAAGATAACACATGGGTAACATTCAATCTCTCACCTCCTGGTGAAAATATGTTGGACCTTTACAATACATTCATTACGTATAAAATGGAAGGTCAATTTATTGTAGATAAAGAAATTGGTTCAGGTTCCAATAAAACAAACCCACCAGGATTTTGGATTGGTTTCGATGACGCTTTCTATGCAGTTGCTGGATATCAAATCCTTGCAAATGGTCGTATCGTATATTCTCAAGACAACGCAAGAGAAGAAGCATATATAACTTCAAACTCACAAACTACCGAACAAATAAAGAAAGTAGATGTTTTCTCAAAGACTCGACATGAAGATGTATGGAGTCATTCGGGAACATGCAGAACAGGACAAATTGTTAGTGGTCCAATTACAGCAGGAAAATCATTTGATTTTAAGCTTCGTTTAAGAATTCCTGTTAGAAGATTCCTTCCATTAGAAGCTATTCGATTTATTCCAGCTTTTGCAGGAAACATTCAGCTTAAAGTAAAGTTCAGTAGCGACGCCTTACAATGCACATCTATATCTGTAAATGATATCATTGCTTTCAATCCAACTCTTAAAGTTGCATTTGCTTCAGATTCAAATCCACCGACAAATAAATTTGTTCCATGGAATGAACCATTCACTATGATAACGAAGGCAGTAGAAGCTAGTGGAACAGTTACTATTACAACTGTAACCCAGCAACTATTTCGAACAAAGATGGATTTTAATGAATGTTTCATTCATCCAAAGTCATTCTCTTTAGACCCTAACATTTATACAGAACTTGTAGAACATTATACAAACGAGGCTTTATGTTTTCCTGTTAAAGTTATGGATTGGATTCCTATGGACGGTTCATTCTCAAAGAATACAGATAGTTCAAGTGCAACATTTACAGCAGCTTATACACCTATTAATGTTAAAAGTATTTGGGCACTATTTAGAAAGAAAGACAACTATTATGTTAATTTTGAGAACCCTAAGTTTAAATATCTTCAGCTTTCCATGGGAGCTTATGGAAATATGCCTGCAGAACCTGAAAAATCATATGGACCTGTATTTTATGAAATGGTTGCGAACGCTTGCAATACAAACAATGATATGATAGGATTTAATGAAGATGTTATGAGGTCATTGGTGGATGATGGTAGTGTGGAACATAAATGGGATAGCTATGACAACACACATTTCTTATGTGGTTTTCCAACAGAAGTGGACTTTTGCTTCCAGCAAGGTCAAACATCTACTGCTCCAATAACATACAAATTGTCTGTTAAAGGACCTATTGAACTAGCAACTGAAAACGTACCAAAGCCACTTATTGGATTTATGAGGGATTGTTGCTTTGCCATTCAGGTGCGTGCTAATGGCATCCCCATAATAAGATTAGATGACTATAACTTAGCTACGGACGACAGTGAGGAATAAAGGATGAACGTTTATTTTTAAAGCTTATAAATGAGTTCTTCATCAAGCTCTCGTGAACCTTCACCATCTATGAAACAAACTTTACCAAACGATTATGGAGCACCTATTGAATATTTCTTACGAGCTGCACAATGGCAAAGAGCAGTCTTACCAAGGTTAGGTGTTCCACCAGCTCCTGTCAAAAATAGCATTTGGTCAAGTCCTTATATAAAATATGGTCTCCCACTAGGTTTGCTAGCTACAGCAGGAGCAGTTATGATGTTGAAAAGAAATAAAGCAAATGTTGTAAATAATACTGAAGTAGCTGAAGTTAAACAAACACCAACACCTTCACAAGCAAAACCTTCAATGACTCCTGAACCTATGGAAGTACAAACTCCTGTTCAAAAGTCAACTCCTAAACCGACTCCAACATTTAAACCAGAACCTACTCCTCAAATAAATCGTAAAACTCCTGCGTTTCCTTACTGAAAAATAACGTTATTTTTATTTAATATTAAAATTTTTATTTGATTGAAATGACGACTAAAGTCACTGAAGCAATGAAACAAAAGTTTTTGGTAGAATACATTAAATCAGGAGCGGTTCCAGAAGGTTTTTACATTCATACTATGAAGGATGGTAGAGTTCAGTTTAGAAAGATAAAGCAACCATTAGATAAAGAAGGTATATTAAGGAAGATTAAACTTCATGAGGACAACATTGCTGAACTTAAGAATATAGATCCGTATTTTTCCCAAGTGAGCGGGGTATCTCCAATCCCAGCCCTATCGTCCTCCCAGTGTCAGTTTTCAATATAAAATCCAAATTTTTTTTGAAAATAAAAATTTCGAGAAATTTTTCTGATTTTTTTTCTTTGATTTCAATAATTCAAAATAAATTTGGGAGTAAAAAGACACTATTTAATGAAATTCATATGAGTGAATGTGGATAAATACTCTAAAAACATACAATTTATCTATTTTTTCTTTATATTATCAACTAATTAGTGATAATTTTTTTTGAATCAGATTTTTTTTCATTAAAAACATAATATATAACACAACAATGATGCACACATACGTATCTACACATCAAAATATAAAGCTTGTTTTGGTCTGGGCATCCCAACCCAAAATTCTTTAAAAATTGAATAAAATTGAATACTTGGGGCTGGGATGCCCATCCCAAAACCGAATTGAATTTTTTGAATTAAAGAATATATTTATGTATTTATAATATACATGTGATGTCTATAAAAAATACTAAATTCTAAAAAAAATTCAATTTATTCAAAACGTATACTAAGTGATCACTTCATTAGTAGGATCAGCAATCCTACTAAATGGTGAGAACGCCACTAACTAAAAAAGGAGTCCTTGGAGCTCTTGATCTCTTGTCAGTAGAGTTCATAATGAGGCATGGCATCTACTGATTAGAGATCAGAGCAATCCTACCTTACCTTCAGGAGCTACAAAGCTCCTAATCGTTACGAGAGGGAGTCTTGG